TAAAAAATATAAAAATTATCCAGGCATGGTGGTGCACACCTGTAGCCCTGCTACTCAGGAAGCTAAGGCAGGAGGATCACTTGAGCCCAGCCTGGGCAACATAGTAAGACCCCATCTCAAAAAATGAAATAAAAAACTATTGTACAATTTATAGAAACCCTATGTGAAGATACTTTTCATGGCCTCAGTCTCTCTTTCAGTCCCTTAGCTTACTGTGCCAGGGTCATCCCTTCTTTGAGGAATCAACATCACTGTTGATGAGAGTGGCTTGTTTAAGTTATTGCTCCTTCATATAAGGAGAAAAAGCCAATCCTAACATATCCTAAATAGGGGAGTACTAGGGTCAACTTATTGAGTTGAATTAAATATATTCTCTCATCACAGCTATCTAAATTGAGTTAAGGAATTTTTGGTGTCATTAACAAAGAATCCTTCATGTCTCCCAACCTGTTTTCTGACATCTTACTTTTGGCTACATAAATAACAGCAATGAATTATTTTTCTAATATAAGCTTTACCTAAGGGTTTTATACTAAAGATATAATAAGACTTAGCATAAAAGAGGAGAATGTTAGAAAAACATAATACTATTATCTTAAACTTTTATTACCTTCATCTTCAAGAGGATTGAAAGACCTTTCATTCTGCAAAAGAACTTGTTTCAGTTCTTCTAATTCAGCATGCTCTTTGGCATACATTCTCTTCAAGTTTTCTACATGCTGAATCATCACTTCAACTGCTTTACTAACCCGGCTTTCCTAGTAGGGGAATAAAAGAGCAAATTTACACTAAAAATACTATTCTGAATACTCGATGAAAGGATGGTGATTAAACACATGTATTTACCTTCACTCCATTTCTAAACCCCACTAAAATGACCATAAAGGTTTTTTTTTTTTAAGACATGCATCTCAAGGGCAAATAAAACAGAAGAGGATATAATAGCAACAAGATTTTGAAAGCTGTATAGAAGGAGGACTATGGTAAATGACTAAGACCTGCAAAAGCTGAACCCTAAAAAAGGTGGTAAGAAAAGCCTAGAAGAACCTAGGTTGCCTAGCACGTCTGATGACCAGCAAGGAGACTGGCGTGGTTGCAGCACCATAGTCAAGGAAGACGGTCACAGGAGATAAAGAGCAAGACATAAAAGGTCAGGGAAATCACGTAGATCCTTTTAAGCCATTGTAAGACATTGGTTTTTACTCTGAGTAAAGTGAGGAGCCACTGGAGGACTTCGAACCAAAAAGTAACATGATCTGGCTTAAGTTTTAAAAGGATTACTCTGGCTGCTTTATTAAGAACAGACAATGTTGGGAGGAGGGATTGGGATGAGGTGGAAACAGAGAGATCATTTAGGAACCTATTGTATTAATCTGGAAGAAATAGAATGGAGGCTTAGATCAAGATGGTATCAATAGAGAGGGAAATAAGTGGTTGAATTCTAAATATACTCTGATGGTAGAGCCATTAGGATTTTCTGTAGGATTGGATGCAAAGTGAGAGAGAAAGGTGTTGAGAATTACCATCCTCCGGACCCAGTTTTGGCTTGGAAAGAGTTGCTTTTGACCAAGGTAAGAAGATGATGGATGGGGGGGAAGCTCTACTCACTTAGCTTCCAGGTATCACCTTCCCCTGGCTTTTCCCTCCACGTCATGGGCTGTTCCTTCCAGGCTCCTTTATGGTTGCATCTCTCCTCCCAGACCTCTCAGTATTGAAGAGCCCAAGGACTCCCCTCGTGTACACCTGATCTCCATCTGCATTCAATCCCCATCTGCCCTCAATCCCCATATGACGACTCCCAGATTCTTATGTTTGGCCTAATCTACTCTCTCGAGTTCCAGTCTGGAATATACTACTGCTGACTCAACTGTCCACTTGGATGTTTGATAAACAACTCAAACTTCACATTCAAAACTAAACTTCTCATGGTCCCTCCAAATTTGGTAATGTGGAGGTCATTGTTAACCTTGGCAAAATCAGCTCTGTGGAAGGAAGAGTGTTTTTAGTGTGTTTTTGAGAGAGAGGGAAGAGAGAGATTGGACATAGCAAGTATCATTCTGTTGAGATTTGCTATACGTGGGAGCAGAGAAACAGGGTGGTACCCAGGGAAGAAAGGGTTAAAGGCTTTTTTGTTTGTGTTTTTTTCCCCATCTTGCAAATAACATATTTGTGTGCTGATAAAATGGTTCAGTAGAGTGGGGAACACTGAAGATGGAGGAAGGTTGGGAGAATTTGAGTCCATGATCATGAGTAAATTAGAGAGGATGGGATCTCACATACAGGTGGAAAGGCTAGCCTGAGATAGGATGAGACACGACTCATCTTTAGTAACAGGAGGAAGGAGGTGTATGGGGATTCAGCTGCTGGTAGGTTCAGGGCTTAGAGCAGTTCCCTCCTCACTATCTCAATTTTCTCAATGAGGTAGGAAGCAGAGTCAGTACCTGTATTTGACAGAGAATACAGGAAGGACATGATTATGCTTTGAGGAGAAAGACAAGGGTGTGAAACTAATATTTAAAAGAGAGGGAGGGTGAATGACAAGAAGTCCAAGGACTGACTTGAGGTTCGGGATGATGGACTTAAAGGGAGCTCAGTTAGCACAGGGCTGTGGTGTTTTCCAGCTACACAGGCATGAGCAGGTGGAGAAGTGCATTTAAACAGGAGTGTAGATTTGCCGAACGATTCAGTCAAAACAAGAAAGGGGAAAGTATGGGGGGTTCGTGCCACGTAGTGAATACTATGTTTGACCATGGAGTTCAAGCTTGGTTCAAGCTTCAAGTTCAAGCTTCAAGAAGGATGGACAACAACAGGGTAAAGGACAGTGAAAATGTGTGAGGGCGCAGGATGATAAAGAGCTAAATATTCATCTTCACAATGGGAAAGCAACAGACAATACCTAAAACAGAAAATAAGCCACGAAATGACAGCACAAGCATGACATTTAGAAACGTAGATGCAAACACAAAACAAGCCAAAAGAGTTGAAAGCTGTTGCTCTGGAGCATGAGAAACTGGGCCATACGACTTACAGAGTTACTTGACTTTTCAGAAAAAAAAAAATATGTGCACACATAACTTTAGTACAAAATAAAACAAAGAGTAATATTCTCTAGTGAGGGGTTAGAAGGAACTAGGATATAAAGAAACGTATAAGAAACAGACTCAAACTATCAC